ACCCTTACACCGTGACGGACGAAGACTTGGCTGCGTCGGTAGACGCGTTGACTAGGAGGTTGAGCAACATGCCTGAGTGGTCGGGAAATATGATCGACCCTGTGAAGTCTGCTGAGCTGGTCGCGGCGAGATGGGGCGGAAAGGCGAGTTATGACAAGCCTGAGGCTCCTCTGACTGAGGCCGGGATGAAGAGTGCGTCATTGGAGGATCGTGCTTACGCACTATCGCAGCTGAATCAGATGGTGAACTTTCATAAGAAGCACCTCTGCTCTGGGCGAGGAGCGCCTCTGGTGAGTGCGGCCGCCCCTAGTGGACCCTTCGCTCCTGACCAGCTGGATGATAGCAGGAAGTTCAGGCCTAGTGAGGCGGCGAGCAAGATGACCTATAATCTTGTGATACTGGATGGGAAGAAGGATTATCTTGCCGATAGGCGAGAGATCAGTCCAGAGTTGAGGGAGACGGGAGTTATCCCTGATGAGGCCGTCACTTGCCAGGTTGTGGTTCCCTCGAAGACAAGGTTGGGCGAGTACCTCCCGAGCTACGAGGAGACCGTGGGCACTGTCGCAGGACGGGAGGCGGCGAAGGAGTTGATGAGACTGCTCTCGTGCGATTTCGACGGTTTGGTCATCAATTCCAAGAGAGTCTCGGAGTTATTCGAGGAACGTGTGCTGAAGGAGGCCGGACGTGAGGCTGGTAACTGGGTGAAAAGTGACCAGGCCATCTGGTTCCTGAAGGAGGTTTCGGGCATGGAGAACGCTGAGATGTCTTGGAAGTTCTTCATTCCGATGATCAAAGCTTTCCCGGTAGGGCAAGTGGAAGTGATGCTCATGGTCATGTACGACGGGGATAGCGTCCTCCTCAGAGAGAGCACCAGGTTGATTGCCGTTAGGCATACGCGGATCGGACGCGACTTGAGTTACAGTGCCGTTAGGAACAGGTATACTCAAGAAGATGCACCTGGAGGATCTCTGATGTATGAGATGCATTGGAACGAACTCCCCATGGTGGGATACATCATCATGAAGTTCTCGGACTTTCGGAAGGCAGTTCAGCTCCAAAGGGTGAGGCGAAATGGAAAGGCCATGATCGAGATATTGATCACGAGGCCCGATGTGTACGAGACCATTGGAGATGGTAGACAGGATGAGGGCCTGATCCCACTTGTGGGAGCCATGGCGCCGGATGCCGAGGTATCGCCTTCGTGGTATGTCAGGGACAGGCTGCGGAACTACTCCGGTAGGTACGTGGTGGTAATGGTGGATCTTCGGGTGCACTGGTCCTTGGTTGGACCCGTGTTTTTGACGAGAAGGAAGACTCTTGCCGTTAGGAACGAGATCCACATGGGGGCTTGGAAGGCGGCGTATATGTACGATGATTACACGATAGTGTACCATCGGGCATGGGACTACGGTGACTTCACCCCCGTTAGGGGAGAGCACAAGCGATCACGGGAAGAGATCAGGCTGAATGTGACTGCCACGTTCTGCTTGAGGTGCGCAGAATTGATGCCGAATGGGATGCACTTGTGTCCCGGGTGCGCGCTCCCGGTCTTTTACCCGAACTTTATCCCCAACGCGGAGGAAAAGGACTTCGAAACGTGCCACATCGTGCCGGAGTGGGTGAGGACCATGGGGCAGTTCAAGCCCAGGAGGATTCCCTCCGAAGTGGTCGGAGTCATCAAGAGGAATTTGATTTCCTATTCGATGGCATCCGATCTAAGGATGACGGTGCAGAGCGGCATCAGACTTCCCCCTTATCTTGGTGAAGACAAGGGAGGTGTCGATGCGGCGTGGGATGAGCTGGCGAAGGTGCTATTCCAATTCTCCTATGTGTCCGGGATTTCGGCCTCGGATGCGTTTGTGGAGAAGTGGGTGGCGAAGCACCTGATCAAGACCAACCAAGTCGATAGATTTGAGTCGGTCACGGAGTACTTCCGGGCCAACCCAAGACACGCTGCTCAGTGGGGTAGGCGTATGACGACTTCCGTTAGGAAGTTCGCTCGTCATGACACGTACTTGTCATTCTATATTCCGATGGCATACGTGATTGGTTCTGCGGCTGGTCATCTGACCCCATTGTACCCGACCCATCGAAAGGACGTGGACATCCTGGAGAGTCATGCGTTGATTTCGCAGCTCAGGAAGTACATGGTATCGGAGACGGGGTACGATGAGAAGAAGAGGTTGAAGGAGGCGATAGCCAAGGTGCAGAAGGCGATCAGCGCCGGACAGTCGGAGCCTCCCGCACCCTTCCGTGACCCGTTCGTCTACGTTAGTGACGAAAAGGTGAGGACGGTTCTTGACGGTCGTCAACCCGAACCTTTGAACGTGGACATCGAGGGACTCCAATCGGTGCATCATGCTGCGCCGGGTCCTGGTCCCAAGCAGGAGCCGGTCCCCAAGGGCGGAAAAGGAAAGGGGAAGAAAGGGGAGAAGGGCGGTAAGGGCGGTAGTCCTTCCGGCCCGCCACCAAAATCAGGTGAAGTGCCAGGTAAAGGATCCGGTAAGGGCGGTAGCCCATCCGTCCCAAAGGCGAAGGATGATGCTGGACCTGCTCCGATGGAGGTTGATACAGCGGCAGCTCAGCCGAAGAAGTCTTGGGCCGAGATGGTGGTTGAAGGGGCCAGGCCGAGTGCCAAGGCTAAAATGACCCCGGTTCCTAAGGCCGAACCGAAAGGGAAGGCTGCTTCAGCATCTGAGGCGAAGAGTGCTCCGGCTCCAAAAGCTGTGGCTAAGGAGAAGAAGCAGACCGAACCTAAGGTTGAGGTCAAGAAGGAGAAGGCAGGAGAAGGTGACGCTCCCGGCGGTAGCCGCGGGTCGGCCGAAGGACAGAAGAGAGAAAGGAAATCCCGTTGGGATCCCGACGAGGCTGCGAAGGAGTCGACAAAGCGGGAGGCGTCCACGAGGCCTGGCGACGTCGACAGCAGACCAGGTGCGGCAGCGAGAGAAGCTAGCGGGGATGATCTTCACTCCGCGCTTGGCAGATCTTCGGCAAAGGATGCGGTAGCGCCTTTGACGGCCTCCAAGGCGATGGCAAAGAAGCCTGAAGGCGGGGAGGTCCGGCTGCAGTCTGCTGAGCGGGCTGCGGCGAGCCCGGTGGAGGGTCACTTCCTGGTGCTGCCTGAGAGTTCGGTGGTGGACGCTTTCTTGTCGATCTCCACCAACAGAGTGCTGAACAAGCAGGTCAGGGATTTCATCAGGAATGGTGAGGACGCGTCGGCACTGGAGGCTCTCAACCAGATCGTGACGAACTCTCGATCTGGGAGGAGGCATAGGGAATCGGATGTTTCCCGTACTCCTTCTCGGAGGTCCGTTAGGACCGTGGACACCAGGGATTCCAGAGAGTCGAGGAGGCGCAGATACCGTCCGCGGCGCGAGGATGATCGCGACAGGAGGAGGGACGATGCTCGTGATCGTCGTGATGATGATTCACTCGATCGGGAGCGAGATCGAAGGCGAGATGATCGCAGGAGATCCGAAAGGGATCGTGACAGGGACCGTGCGCGGGGCGGGCGTGACCGGAGGAGACGTGACGATAGCCGGTAGGCTGAGTCACGGGGATTGCGGCCGATAGGCTTGCGTCCATTCTCCAATGGTCGGCGCGGTGTGGAGGTGGTCATGTTCCTCCCGGACCGCTGAGGCGCGGAGGTCATGTCTCTCCCGCACCGCTGCTGAGCTGCTGGACGTGCTCATCCGGAAGCAGTATGAGTGAGAGGGAAAGCAAACTGATGGGGGGTTACTCCCGGGTTTGCGGAATTCAGGCATTTTTCAGGTACGCATGGTCAGGAGTACCTCTTGCCGTTAGGCGAGGGTACTAATGGACATACGTTATCTTTTATTTCATGGCTTCTGATAAGAATTAAACTTCTTGCATTTCTGATGCAAACAGTTGTGACCTATTGTCGTCATGTGGACTTTTCCACAAGGTATGTTGGACAGCGTTACCCCGATTAATTCGGGGTGGTGGCGGGAATTTAATGCCCGGGATGTCGCGCGACTGCCTTTGTGGGTTTGCTCCACCGCTGACGGCGGTAGTGTCCAGCTGTTTGCGGACGTATGCGAGCAGTTAAATCCTATCAGTAAATGGCACGCTCCACCCGTCATATGACGGGCTCCTCGTGAGGGGGGTGTGATTAGCCATGGTTTATTTCATCACCAGGGATGTCGCGGTAGTGACTGACCTGTGGTGTTTGGCTCAAGTTTTGGGTTCCGTCGCGCCTCGAATGGGCGTCGCCGAACCCCTGCGTCGACCGACGGCATCTCGGGGGAGAAAGAGACCTCGGGCCGCCGCCAGGTTGGTAGGGACCAGTCGTGCGGCCTGTTGTCGACCAAGGTTGCGGGTTAACCCTTTTCTTGTTTGGTTTGTTTTCCTTTGGTTGTTGTTCTCTGGTGTGTGGGAAACCCTGATCTTTGGGACCGGGGATTGGTTTGCTTTTGGGGAACCTTTCTTTTGTGGCTTGTTTACCCCAACTTACCCATTGCCTGGGCACAGGCTCGTGCCCGAATCACAAACAAAAAACAAGCACTTATGGCCCTTATGGCTACTCTTCTCACCAACATTGAGCTTTCAAGGGTCTCCGTGCACTTTCATGCTCGGCGTTCTCAACAGCCCCCTAAACGATTGGTTCCTTTCGTGGTTTACCCAACCAGAAGGCTTCGGTCCGAATCCTATTTTGAGAACCCCGGTAGGTTGAGGGAAAGGGGGGTGGGCAGAAGGCGCTGTTGAATATGGATTCGAGGGTAACATCCCCTGACCGTTTCGGATTTCTGTTTCCGGCTAAGCCAAATCCAAAGCCGGTGCCAGCCCGCCCAGGTTTGGACAGACTAAACTGATTGATCCGCGATTCCATCACTCAACCCCCAGATCGAACTCCTTTCCAACCCTTGCAACCAGGGTTCTGGTCATCTAGAGATCCTTGACTCCAAGACCGTTTCCAGCATCCAACAAACGCGCTCAAGTCGCCCGGACCTCGGCTGTTCTGGGGTCCGAAGCTCAGCTAGGTGTGGCTGGGCCACATCTTGGCCGCGGGCTTGCAGCCTGACCAGGCCCCGAGATTCAGCTGCGTCTGAGGCTTTTGCAACGGCAGCGGTTTTCCTTCTGGTTCCCCAATGGAACAGGGCTCCTTCAAAGATCTCCATTTTGCAACCGTTTGAAATATGTTGCTTTTTCAACACCACACAAAAGGGAAACCTATTTACAAGGCAATGTTCAGGTGTATAATGTAAGGATCCCTGTTTGAGACCACAAAAAAGGGGGCATCAACAAAAGGACCCCACCATTCCATTGCTTCTTTCAAGGTGGGCGAATTCTAATCATTTGCGAGTGTGGATATGGGAGAGGTGCCTCATTTTTGTTGGCACTAACCTATGTTAGGGGTCTTCATTTTGGACGAGCAGTACAGTATATAGGTGCACAGATGTTCAACTACATGTTACAAATTACTACAGGTTCGAGTCTTTCACTCTCCGCACATGGCTAGCTGTTTTATCCCTGTGACCAACCAAGGGGGACCCAATCAGCCAAATCAAGCGGTTTGGGGTGTGGATGGACAACACCACTTAGTGGTGTACTCATGCTTATCCCTCTAAGGATTTTTGTATTACACCCTGAAGAATACACCCACTGGGTATTGACCCCATGGCACATTTCCGGATAACACTTTTTTTTGGAACCATTCTGCATAATTTCCCGAGGGTGTAATCCCAGGGTGTAATACAAAGACCCTCAGAATCCCACAATTTGCAGGGTGTTTTTCATCTTTCATCCATCCCAACTGGTGCAAAACTTTTTTCGTCCGCAATATTGAGGCTTCTCAAACCTGCCTTGGAGGGGTGGTTTCACTTGCTGGACGTTGGGCCACAACAGGGGATCCTGATAGTGGACACATTGCCAGGTCCCAGGTTGGAATGGGTGTTTCCCAACATCCGAAACTGACGATCGGCCAATGCCACCCAGCTGGCACTTCCACTACCTGGGACCCAAGTAAGTTGAGCCGATCATAGCTGGACCAACCGCTGGGCTTGGGTCCCTTCCACGATTCCGACTCTCTTGGGAAAAGAAAACCCTCGGCACCACTGCGTTTTGGACTTTCAGTTCATATGATTTGTTGGGTGCTTTCAGTTCAAAGGGACTGTCTGAGAGCCTACTCATTTTGGGGTCCCCTGAAAGACAGACCCACAGAGTGTCTTTCTCAGGGTTTCTTTTACGTGCAAACAGAAATCGGTTTTAAGGGTTTCAAATCCCGTTGGAAAGAATGGGAATGGTTCAAGGCTGTTTTTGAGGCCTCCGAATCCCATTTAGAGACGAACACAAGTTGAAGTTCCCCTCCTTGCATACTTAACATACTGCTCCAGATAACTGGGGTCATTGTTTTGACCGTTTCTAGGCGTTATCAAAGTCAGAAAATGGGGGTGTTTCCCTTTAACCCATCACTTAGAAATTGAGTTTGATCATGGTAAAATAATGAGGCCAGGAAACCTAAAACCTCCCGATGTCTGCTTGGTATTTCCATTGGCGCCTTTCCACAGACGGCTGTCCACCCGCCCCGGCTCACTCGCTCCCCGCGTCGATCGCAGGTCTCATACAACACCCTGATGAAGGCGGAGATCGCCTGCGGGCGATTGCGCCTGGGCCGAGAATTCTGTTCGGCCCGGAAGGCTCGCTGCCCTCAAAAGGGAGGGAGCAAACTGGAAAGGTTTTGGGCAGAACAAGGGGAGACCAGGATAATCCCTAAAGGGGGGTAGGTACAACCACTTATTTGAGGACTCTGTGTGTGTGTGTGTGTGTGTTCTTTTTTGTTTTTGTTTAATAAGCTTTTTTTTTTGTTAAATAAAATAATAGTAATAATAAATTATTATTATTATGTATTCCAAGTTTTCAAGTCTCCATTCAGGTTCCCGACAGAAGTATCCTTTTCGTTAGGTCGTGATTGGTAGCCAGCAACTCTTGCAATCATTTGGTTCTGGAACCCAAATTTTGTGGTTTTTAAAGCAAGCCGGCTATTCTGGGCATGCCCGATTCCAAAAAAAAGGCACACACACACACACATACGTACATACACACGATTTTAGCTCGTTTGTGTGGTTGCCTCCCCGTTCCCCCCCCCCCCCCCCCCCAGTACAGGGTGGCGCCAAAAAGATCGGGGACCGAACTTTGTTCGGGGAAAGAGTTCGAGGGCAGAGCGCCTTTCCCCCGGGTTGAGATGTGGAGTTCTTTGTGCGAAGTGGTGTTGAGCGCCATGGGTTTTTGGGGTGGGCCGAGGTTGGCCATGTCCAAGAATCCCTCAAAATCGGGGAGCATTGCCACCATCAGGCATGTTGGGGGTGGGGGGGGAGGGGGGTCTGAGAGAGTGTTTCATGATCAACATGGCTGTGTACTGAAATAAATACCCTGATCGTAGAGACGTATCATGGACTTAATGTAACATGTATGTATATAAATATGTATATTTATATATATATATATATACATGCTTATATGAACACCCCCTTTTTTCCGCGAGAGAGCGGGTCCCTGTTTTTTACAACCTCAAAAAACACACCTCCCTCCCTTCCCAAATCCAAGGAAACCTACCCAAACTCACACATCCACCTCTCCGCCCCCCTCCCCACCCGCCCACCCCCCATCTCCCCACTTCCCCCTATCTCCCCACTTCCCCCCACCCCCACCAGCCGCATCCACCTCCCCACCCCCCACCACCCTCCCCCCGGATTTCGGCCCGCGCCCAGGGCCGGGCTTCAGGAGCACTTGAGCGCCATGCAGCTGCAGGGCTTGAAGCCCACGGTTCTCACCTACGGCACCGTGGCGCGGACCTCGCTTGGCCTCGCTTGGCATCACTGCGTGTTTCGAAACCCGGGCCCGGGGGGCATGACATGAAAAGGGTGAGGCTTGGGGTCAGGGAAGTTAGGGGGCGGGGGTAAGGGCCGAAGTTAGGGAGGAAGTTAGGGGGGGGCTGGAAAAACTAGGCAAAGCACAGGAGTGTTGCTTGTTTCTCTAAGCCGGGTTATTTGTCTTTGTTAGTTGCAAACGCTACAGAGGGAAACCCGCGAGTTGTTTTGAGATTTTTCCCGCAAGACTCTGTTCCGATTTGTCCAGATCACCAACAACAAAAACGCAAGCATGCTGCCTCAAACTATGGAGACACAAAGCTAACAAACACGATCATTCACTTGATCCGAATACCTACACAGTAAAGTAGAAACTTACTTGCTTCCAGCACGCGTGTCAGTGTGGAAAGTTTCACTGGGCCTTGCACAAGCCCTTTGGAGCTGGTCCGCGTCTCCTGTGATTCAGGCTGAATGTGGACCAGGGCAAATGAGACAGCCAGGCACGAGACCAGTACGAATGTATCTTTGTGTGAGGTGCCCTTCTGGGAGTGGTTGAAAGGGAAACCGAATGGAAGCCACCACCACGTGATTGGCTGATAGGTAGGGAGGACATGAGGGGCTCACCCCCCCATTCTTTCTCCAATTTTTTCTCCAAGTTTTTCCGGGGAGCAGGTTTGCCCGTGGATCGCTTGCTTGGCGGTGTAGAAGGTAAACGTTCACGGGAATGCGACCAGAGGTCACACACACACACAAATGAGTTCAGCTTCAACGGCTCTTTGTGTGGACGTATTAAAGCATGGCTGGTTCCCTTTCGAGCCCAACCAGGTTTTCAGTCAAGCCATGGTTGATGGTTCCGCGTAGCCTTTTTGCAACCATGGAAGCGGACAAATCAGACATGGTCCACTTCCATGTTTCTTGGAAGTAGGCCAATGGCACGGTCAAACATGAATTCCACCTGCTTGCGGTAGGGTCAGTGGGAGATGCCTGCCCCTTTTTTAGCACTGAACCCCCTTTTTTTTGGTGGGCTCCCCACTTATGGGGACCAATCCACCAAAAAGGGGCACCGATGTTTCCGATTGTGGAAGGTCCGATCTTCCTTCCAGGACCTTTGAAAGCACATACCTCAGGTGGGGGGTACCTACAGAGTTCCCTCTAGTTCCCCTTTTGGCTTTGAACATTGCCTTGCGGTTGCCAATGTGCAGAATTTCAGTTTCCTTTTGGCGCGATGTTTCGAGGGGTGCCTGCAAGAGACTTCAAGATGAGCGATGCCCTAAGGTCTCAGCCTACGCTGACGCCGGCGACGTGGATGCGGCCCAAAGCTGGTACGACAAGGCGCATGGAGAGACAAGGGACAACGCGCAGCTGTGTGTGTGTGTGTGTGGGTGTGGTTGAAGGGACATCAACAAGAGCACCAAAATTGGGGGTCTAGTTTTAGACACGCCGTGTCTCTTTGAGTTGAACTGCTTTTTGGTTCATTTCAAGAGGAAGCCAACCTGAAACCAACCATTTGCAAGACTAATGAATAATCCAGCCATTAGAGGTGCGTTCTCTTTGGGAAACCAAATTCCATGTTTCAGGTCAAAGATGGAGACTAAGCTGCCATACAAAGAGAATTGGCCCTTTTCCCTCCTTGAGCTTAAATGAGTTCTGTGGCCTTTGAACGTTCGCTCAAAACGCTGAACGCGCGCACGGGAGTTCGCGAGTCTCGGCGGGGAGCGGATTCTGAGGCGCTGAAGGAGAAGAAGGTGAACGTCAACCTCCTATCTTCGATGATGAAGGCCTATGTCAAGGCCGGAGTTTTCGAGGCATGCGTGTTCTTCCCTCTGGAATCGAATTTCGGGTGTCGCTTCCAAAATGGGAAGGGTGTCCTTTGGTTTCCCTTCAAGATGCCAGAGAACAACCGGCCATTTTCAGTTTCTTACTTGCCCGAAGCTTTTGACCTTTTGACCTTTTGGTTCCCCTGGGTCCATTTTGACCCCTTTTGGATTCCCCTTTCATTTTTAGTGGCCCCAAATGGTTATCACCGAGTTTTTCCCGACCCACTCGCAGGTGGGCAACCTGAAAGCGGCCGAGCGGTGCATGCAGGAGGCCCAGGAGGACGCACCCAGAAAACCCGCTGATGGACCTATCGAAATGGACAACATACAAAAATGGCTGTGGGTCAAGACCAATGGGATCCCATTTTGGGGGATTGGTGCACCACTCATTTTAGAACCTGTTTTGGTGGGGATTGGGATGTTCACTGGAGGTACGATTTGGATTTTGACCCATGGCAAAATAGGGGGGTTTTGACCTCTTGCTGAAGACATGATTCTAATTTTCTGTTTCTATTGGTTAAGCGAGAAATGGTTGAACACAATTGTTGTTTTGACGGGTGTGGTTGATGTGTGCCGAGAAGTGTGGGGGGGGGGGGAGGTGTGGCAAATGTGGGCGACCGAGGCTAGTTCTGAATCTGGGTGCCACCCAATGTTTGGGATTGGGAACTGGTATGTTTCCAACTCTGATGGCTAACTCGGAATGCCATTTCGTTTTGTAGCTTCTTGCCAAGGGGGGAAGCAGCCAATTCGTTGTTTCTCCCCGTCTCTGCCAGACACTTGGATGTTCAAGCTGGTTGAAGCTCCAACCTTCCCCTCCGGTTTGGATGCAAGGATCTGCGATTTCCGGCTCCATCCTTTTTTCCGGCCGAACTGGACTCCAGCGGCTTCCGGCATCTGAAGATGTTACAACCCGATTCAAGGGGAAAGTAGGAGGAAAGCCTTGGCCTGGTTGGAAGAGTGGCTGAGGGTGGCAGGAAAAGCCAAGAAAGCACAAAGGGCGGCAAATGAACGCGCCCACGAATGAGAGAAGCCACATTTCAGAATGAAATGACATCAGTGGATTTTATCATCAGTGGATTTGGACATCAGAGGATTTCACATGTGACATCGCTGTGGGGTGCCCGTTCTCCAGGGGATGCGTCACTACAAAAACGTCATCTTCGTTACAACTCGATTGTTCCTGTTAATGTTGATACCATATTAATCAACCAACCAGTTTATTAATAAGGGGGGTGGTTTTTGCCCTGGCCAAAAGTGGTCTGATTCCCCCACATTGTTACCCAAGAAGAAGCAGCCCTCAATAAAACTGGGGTTGATTAAAATGTGCTCAACATCATCCCTTCAAAGCCCGAACTCCTGGGTGGTACCTCTGTTTGGAAACCAAAACAACCACCACAACTTGGGTCCAACAACAAGACATGGGTATGGGTCAAAATTGAATCACCAGACCGCAGGTTTTAGTCCATGTTTCCATTTACCAGGGTTCCATTTTGGGTACCTATTTCCCACCCACAGCCACATACCCATGGGGATTCCATGCGTTCCCGAAAGCACACAGGAGGGCATCGAGCCCAACCATGTGGTCGGTATCCCGGATTTACTTGTCGACGCCAAGCTGCCCCGCACCGTGGACGCGACATGGGTCTGTCCAACCCGCTTGGTGTTTTTTGAAGGGACGCAACAAGGAAAGCCCCATTGTAAGGGTCTACAAACAGGCTCCCACATAGTCTCCCCAGAAACCTTTTGAGCATATGGAACAATACCAATCAGCCATAGGAGGTCCAACAGTTCCATGTTAGTGGGAGAGAGCAACTTAAAATCCGAAACGGGTTGTTAAACGTGGGTTCCACGTTTGGAAGGTACGTCTTTCTCGCTTCCCAATGAGGACCAAGGCCATGTGAGGCAGTTTTTATTTTAAGGGTACCCTTCTTAGAGTTGGTGGTTGGTGATTTGGGGATTTGCACCCCTTCTTGTAGAGGGTAGATGGGAAACCACTCCGTAAACGCCAAACCACCAAACCACCAGTCAGAGGGAAGCTGATTAGCACCGACCAGCCTGGAACATTTGGACCGTTGATCCCTAAGGCCCAGCGTTCGGCGGCAGCTGTTCAAAAGGACACCGGAAAGGGACCCCAAGAGGACACCGGGGGACAGCAGAAGCCAGCTGTTGGCTTCTTGTTTCGGGAATCACATTTTTTTCCCGAAAACATCGCGAAGGGTTCTTCCGCGCGGAGCTCTCGGACCAACTTGCATAGAGTCACTTGCGCAGAGTCAAATACATAGAGCCAAGTGCATAGAGCCAAGTGCATAGAGCCAAGTGCAAATAGAGCCAAGTGCAAATTGAGCCAAGTGCACAGAGCCGAGTGCATAGAGCCGAGTGCATAGAGCCGAGTGCATAGAGCCAAGTGCATGGAGCCAAGTGCATAGAGCCGTGCATAGAGCCAAGTGCATAGAGCCAAGTGCATAGAGCCAAATACATAGAGCCAAGTGCAAAGAGCCAAGTGCATAGCCGAGTGCACAGAGCCGAGCGCATAGAGCCGAGTGCATAGAGCCAAGTGCATAGAGCCAAGTGCATAGAGCCAAGTGCATAGCTTCGGCGTTAGCAGCTATGTAAGTTAAGTTTAGCTTTCTAGGGCGCCGGGGCAGGACTTTGATCGTCGATCGGGTTTGCGACCCTCTGCGGGGATCGGCGTGGTCGAGGTGCAAAAACTCGAGGTTTTTTGCGATTTCTGATCTGCCCGCGCGACCCTCTGCGGGGATCGGCGTGGTCGAGGTGCAAAACCCTCTGCGGAAATCGGCGTGGTCGAGGTGCAAAAACTCGAGGGTTTTTTTTTTGGCGTTTTTGCGGGGATTGGCGTGGTCGAGGTACAAAAACTCGAGGTTTTTTTGCGATTTCTGATCTGCCCGGGCGACCCTCTGTGGGGATCGGCGTGGTTCAAAAAGTCGAGGTTTCTTGCGATTTCTGATCTGCCCGGGCGACCCTCTGCGGGGATTGGCGTGGTCGAGGTGCAAAAATTCGAGGGAACGAGGGTTTTTGCGATTCTTGCGGTGCCTGCGCGACCCTCTGCGTCGGCGTGGTCGAGGTGCAAAAACTCGTTTTTTTTCAGTTTTGCGGTGCGCGGATGAACCCTCTGCGGGGATCGTGCGACGCGCTCTCGCCGTGGCGCCGTGCGAATTCGATTTAGTCTTGGCAAGCCCTCTGCGGAGATTGTGCGTGTCGAAGCCCCCTCGCTGTGGCGCCGTGTGATTTTTTACTCGCGAAGCGGCCTTTGAGTCATTGAGTTCGCGCCTGCTTTCGCAATCGCGCGGTCGCGGGTTCGATTCCCCCCTGGCCCGCGGCAGCTCCAGCTGGAACATCGCAACTGTTAAGTATGAAAGTAGTAGGCGAAGTACACTTTCGCGACAGCTGCAAAATCGTTACTTTTAAGTACGAAAGTAGTACGCGAAGTAAACTTTCGCAGCTCCGGCGCAACTTTTGAGCGTGAACTACACTTTCGCAGCTCCGGCTGGAAAATCGCAACTTTCTAGTACCAAAGTAGAAAGCGAAGTAAACTTTCGCAGCTCCGGCTGGAAAATCCCAACTTTTAAGTACGAAATTAGTACGCGAAGTACACTTGCGCAGCTCCGGCTGGAAAATCGTAACTTTGAAGTTCGAAAGCATTACGCGACGTAAACTTTCGCAGCTCCGGCTGGAAAATCGCAACTTCTAAGTACGAAAGTACTACGCGAAGTAAGCTTTCGCAGCTCCGGCTGGAATATCGCAACTTTTGAGTACCAAAGTAGCACGCGAAGTAAACTTTCGCAGCTCCGGCTGGAACATCGCAACTTTTAAGTACGAAAGTGTTTCGCGACTAGAGGAAACTTGTTCAGAGCAACTTGCTGAGAGAACTTGCTTGGAGAACTTGCTCAGAGGAAATCGCGCCGACCACTTGCTCAGAGCAACTTGCACAAAGAACTTGCTTGGAGAACTTGCTCAGGGGAACTCGCGCCAACAACTTGCTCAGAGCAACTTGCGCAGAGAACTTGCTTGGAAAACTTGCTCAGGGAACTCGCGCCAACAACTTGCTCAGCTGCGCAACTGCGCAGAGAACTTGCTAGGATTGCTAGGAGAACTTGCCGCCGCTGCTAATGCTTTCGGGCCACCCATCTTCTAGTTTTTTTTTTCTTTTGCGCCAAGGGTGGATGGACATCATTTTGCGCTTTGTGGTTCGCAGTAGGATGTTTTTTTCCCTTTGTGGGTTTTGTCCATCCCCTGGCTTACTCGCGCTGAGGTTTATACCAGCATGATCAATGCCTACGCCCAGCGGGGTGACGTGGAAAGCGCCGGGGTCCGGCCGCCCGGATGTTCACTGAAGGTTTCTTCGATTGTTCCGCGTTTCTTTTTTTTTGAGGGGCGTGGGGACTATGAACCGGACTCTGAACATCTTCAGGTGCTTGCACCAGATTTTGCCCAGGATTGGGGTACCAGGTTGCCACTGGTGATCCTCCCACGTCCTGCTTAAGTTCCCTACATCACCCACCAAAGTTGTCCAAAGAACTCACCTTAAGTTTGCCCTATCTGTTGCACCGGGTTTCTTGCACTCCCAGGACCATGTGACTTAATTTAGTTTTGCGGTACCCCAAACTCCGTCTTCTCGAATCCGCGCCTTGGACGGGCGTCTATAAGCATGAATTGGGCATGTGGGAGTTTGATGATGCGCAGGGTTGCACAAGCCGCATTGGTTGTTCCAGTAAAGCTAGCCAGCCTGGCGGAGCAGTGGCTCCAGCCAAGCAGAGAAGTCAGAGTATAATTCGTTGAGGCAGCGGAGAGCCGTGTACTATTGCGTGAAAACCACCTTCATCACCGTCAAGTCGCGCACTTCGTCAGCGGGAAGATCAGATAGCCTGCCTGCTCGGCTGCGTGAGAAGACTCACGAACCTGACGAGCTCTGAGATCAGACTTTGTGGAGGCACGCAACGCCAACGCCAACGGATGCGCCGCCAACGTGCAGGATTCCTTCCCTTCTCTGCCTCCCTCCCTTCCCTCCCCCACTGCTCCTGAGAGGAACGACACGCACGATGTGCAGGTGGCTTCAGTAGGAAGTCGAGGGCATCCAGACTTCTGTCGAACACCATGGTTCCTCATGGTGCGGCAGTTTGGGTGCCCCAACGGCCGCCATTGCGGGTTTTGCCATCATCCACATGTTCGTTCTGTGACGCTGGACAAGCGGCAGCGCCTAGCCGTACGCAGCCTCAGCGAACAAGAATTGTTGAACCATGTTCTTCCCCATCTTAAGGCTCGGGCGGAACAGGTGTCGCGAGCTATTCGAGTCATCGATCTCCATGAATCATTTGGCATGCTTAGAGGCTCTTGAGCCCTCCAGCTCCAGCATACCCATGCTGAAGGATCTAAGCCGAGGCGCCCGCAAACTGAGCTTCAACCGCCTTGAGACGTGCCCTTGTAGCAAACTAGAACCTATTCAGTTGCGCGAAAAGCCTTCGGAATCAGCCCACACTGATGGCCCATGTAATCTTCTTTGGACAGCACTTTCCCACGAGCTCAAGGGAGCATGGGCTCCAGCGCCCTCATACTCGCCCACTGGCTGAACAGAAGCCCTCCAAAAGTCAATGTGTTTTGTGCGTTTGCGCCTCGCCGCCGTGTTTTGGCTGCTTTGAAGCGAAACTGGGCAACCAAAGAAGAAGAAAGCACATTCTGATTCAGATCTCCAGAAAGGGTAACGCCACCCTAAGCACTCACTCCAGTGTGCTGATGCAAGGACCCGCCGTTTAGGTTCCGTGTTAATTGGCAGAGGTGTACCAAAAGACCCCCCTTGGTGACAAACTAGTCATAGCTTGCGCGCCAGACTATCTGGGACTAGGGACCCGAATGCGAACTGTCGTTGCCAGTGTCAGTGGGCTGTTCAGTTGGGTAAATCCGACCCCAAAAAAGTGGTCTTTGCCTTTTGGCTTCCATTCAAACCTACCTGAAACAGGGTAGCCTCCAAGAATCACACGCCCACATAACAGCTTTAGAGCCTCCGGCTATGTCCCCTTCACTTCCCTTCACTTCCTGTCCCCTGCATGTCCTTGCATTTCCCTGCACTTGACCGTTCGATTTCCCCTGCATTCCCTTGCATTTCCTTTGAATTTCCCCTTCATTTCCCTGTTCTTTTCCCCGTTGTTTCCCATGCACGTCCCCTTCACTTCCAGTCCTACATCTCCCGTCGTTTCCGCTCATTTCCCCCTGACTGTCTTTCATTTCCCTTCGTTTCCCCTTCATTTCCAGTCATTTCCCTCCTACATCTTCATTTCCCCTTCACTTTCATTCCCCCCTCATTTCCCTTTCAGTTCCCCTCGCACTTCCCCCTGATTTCCTTCCAGTTCCGCTCCTGTCCCCTGCATGTCCTTGCATTTCCCTGCACTTCACTGTTTGATGTCCGCTTCATGTCCCCTTTATTGTCTGCATTTCCCTTGCATGTCCCTCATTTCCCGTTATTTCCTCCGAATTTCCCTTCAGTGCTCCCCATGCACTGTTTTGCATTTCCACACATGTCCCCTGTATTGACCCTTCATTTCCGATTCACTTCCCTTCATTGCAGCTTCATGCCCCGTTGTTTTTTCAGGAGGCCTAGAATACTGCAAGACATGGTCGTTTTCAACGTTTTCGTACTGCGTTTTTCACGGTTTTCGGCAAGAGGAGGCGGAATTTCCCAGCCGGCAGAGAGCCGGCAGGGGGATTTGAGCCTGAGACCCGTGTTTTTTTCCACACCGGCACTCGGAAGACTATTTTGAGTGGAACGTCATCAGATTGCCGCGCGGTACGGGTTATCCTCTATGCTCTCTTAGGCATTCGACACGCTGAACAATTTCGGCGGATATACATATATTACAATATTCAGGAATCAACCGTGGCAAAGTTGCGGATTCGAAGACCCACAGAATGCCACTTAGGGCATTCCTCAAGGCTCCCAGAGATTGGCCCATGAGAACTCGTTGCTTTTTTTGCGGATTCAGCCTACCATGTTTTTGTTTTTTTTAATAGCCCCCCCCCCCCCCAAAATGAGTGGTTTCCCATTGTCCCTCCAAAAAGATACCCTCAAACAAGACAAGCCACCCTAATCAGAACTGGTAGCTCCAATTTCGGCTCTCTCGGCCAAGTTGGCTAGCTTGCCTCAGGCAATCCCATTCGGGGCGGGTGGGGGGTTATCTAAGGCTGTCTAAGGAGCCCAAAAAAGACCAAGGAATGCGGGCTCTCAACTACCACGCCCCTTGTACCCCCCGGATGGGATTTCAGTCAGCCGACCAACTTCTCGCCAGGCCTGGTTTCGGTTGGCCAAGCAGCGGACGCCTCGGTGGGTCAAACTGGTTGCGTGTCTTTTGGTTGGGGCCCTTTTGGGTTGCTTCAAAGGGAAAGAAAGGGGTAACCGGGCCTCATGTTGCGAATTGAGAACCGCCTGAACCTTTTGCGCAGTGTGTTATTTGGTTGAACACTTGGCAACGGAGATGGGTTGGTCAAAGTTGACCATCGACACACGCCCAACTAACAAACCACAAACCCAAGAAAATCTGCCGACACCCCTTTTTCAGGCAACCCTGAGTTGGTGGCTGGGATTGGTGGTTTGGGTTTGAACTTGAACCCCCAGTCCTTGCAGAGGGCAAAGTTAACCCCAGCTTATTTCGAACACAAATGGAGGAAGGTAGCCTCTAATCTCCAAAAAACGGGGGGAAGGCTCCCTTTGTTGGGAAAAGGGGCGCACGGGAAGGGTGCCGAGCCTGGGAATCCGCGCGATGGCCACTTTCAGAGAACCGGCCGGCAACCATGTCAGATCTTGCCCTTGGAATCCTTATGAAGTGACATTCTATTGGGAATCGAAGAACCTTCTGCTTTGGCAACGTTTTATGGTACTCTCAAACGGGGGTGCCTTGTGTTGAATTGAAAGGGAGCTGGTCTTTGGTAGGGACCGGCAATCATTTGGGTTCTCCACATGAGGAAACCACCAAAGTGGCGGGTTTCATGTCGGCTGCCCTTAACTCAACGAGACCGCTCATGCGAAGGCCGGATTTCCCGTTTGACGGGACAGCCCCCCCAATGGTTTACTTGGCGTCCCTCTTGGTGTCTTTTTCAGACACTTTTACATCGGCTTTTCTTGCTTCAGCCCCAATCTTGTGGTTTTCCTCTAAACCCGAAGGGCATCAACTCAAAAGAAAGGCCAAGGCCACCACCCCAACCCCAAAAACCTGCCCCCAACACCTGACAGGTCCCACCAGGTCCCATTTTGGCTGAACCGAGGCAGCGTCAGGTGCGGCTGAACCTCTGGAGCTACAACGCCCGGAGTCCGATCGATAGAGCGGACCTCCGACCGCTCCCGGTTCGTTTTGGGATGGCCCCTAAGCCGTGCCTTGTTTTCTTGCCGCGAAATCAGCAGGGAAGGAGAGACGAAGGAGACATGGAATGAGAGACCCCGATTTAAGGTTCGAATGGATTGGTGGTATTCCATTGATGGCCGTCTTGGTTTCCGGAAGGTCACCTATGCCCCTCACTTTTCCATCTCCCATGGAAAACACACCAACTGAATCCCCTGAGAGGATTCCCAGCAAGGATTGAACCAAATCCGACCAAACCTCCTGGGTCCAAGCTACCCATTTTTCGTCTTGCTGGTTGTCAGGGGGGTTCAGCATGGGCTTGGGAACGAACCAAGGGATCTTCAAGGACACCACAAAAACTTGCTGGTGCGATAGGTAGGGAATGTCGGCAGAGGGTCCGAAAACCGGTGGGTTGGTTTTGTCCCGGGGCAGCAAAAGATGCAAAAGATGCTTTTGCTTGGAGGGAGAAGCAGCGGGGTGCTTCTTAACATTTGGACAGGTGGCTTTTTGGTTTCGCTAAACCCCGATCGAAAGGAGGATAACCCAGTTCGCGTGGAACTCCACCCAAAAAACATTTCTTGTTTTGATGGAATTGACAACTTCCCCTCCAAAAATGATCCCCCCCCCAAAAAAAAACAAGATCCTCCCCCCAAAAACACCTCCCCCCCTCCCCCCCACAAAAAAAGAGAGTAGTAAAAACGACCCCCCCAAAAAAAATACAAAACACAAAAGAACCGGCTCCCACCCTTGGGCTCCGTTTTTTCCGCGGGAAGAGTTCTCGGCTCCGAAGACCTCGGATTCGAGGCTATGATCAAGGCCTGCGCCAAGGCCGGCGCCGCGGCCCTGGAGACGGAAGCGAGGGCCGATCTTCTTTTTCTTCTCCTTTTTTTCTTCTCTTCCTTTTTCCCCCCTTTTTTTGTCTTCTTTTTTTTCATTTGTTTTTCTTTCTCGGGCTCTTTGTCCCCAAAGTACTTCGAGGTTCCTTTTTTCTTCCGGTTCTTTGAGGCTGCCGGTCCCCTTAAACCTTGAAAAGAACGACGCCCCCCGGATTTTCTTCTTCGATCCAAGTCGACGAAATGTGTTCGGCACATTGGATGCAAGCACTTGCTGGTGGTGCGGATTTCGGCAGGGAAGGAGAGTTCTGGAACGGCCCCGATTTAAACCATCCCACTGGTGGCTTCCGGAATACCCAGGTTCATGCCTTTCTCATTCCCTACTCATCGCACCAGCAAGTTTTTTTTGATTCGGGAGGGAGTTCAGGCGCAGGTCAGTCACTCATGTTGGCACCCATTTGATACATCTTTCTATTTTCTGGCCTGGCGATTCGCAGTCTGGGCGAAAGTGGGACGGCGCGCTGTGGTGTATGGAGTTGAAGCTCCGGGGTTTGTCAGGTTCGGCGAAGTTGTCTCCTCTCATTTCAGGTCACCTCATTTTTTGGTGGTTGGATTGGTTTGGGTTCGGACTTGAACCCCTGGTTTCAGAGGGATGGAAAACCCGAATCCTTAACCTGCGAACCACAAATCCAAACCACCAAAAAACGGGGGAGGCTGATTGGTGGCTTGGCTTGGATTTGGATTTGAATTTCTTGCAGAGATGGGAAACCACCCAAGCTCCGCACCTCCAAACTCCAACCGATTCGGCTCCAAAGCGATTCGGTTTTCCGAGGCTGTTACCCAGGTCGTCGGGTATCGCAGATGGCACAGCCTATCTGTCGGTTGAGAAATTTGGCGAAACTGAACCGAGGAATGGGGATCCATTGAAAAAAAACCGCAATTTGATCGGGGGGAGGGGGAATGTCCTCTTCACTTTGAGGGAATGTCCTCTTCGCTTTGTGAATCCACCAGGTCTTTTGACTTTGCTTGGACCAAGCCGTTTAAGAGGGTTTATGGAGACACCGTGAGACACGAAGTTCCAACTGATCGGGACACGGGCTCCATGTTAGAGGGGTTAGGTGATATGGTCTGATGCTGGGGGACTTGTACATGTGCCAGTTGCAGGTTTATCAGGCACCTTGTCCATCAGTACAAGGACCCCTCGCAGTTTCTTGGGACATGGATTTTTTGCGTAATCTGCAGTAAGCCGCCGGTTGTGGGTGTTTGCTCACCAAGGACTCGCAGCGAGCGCAGGCCAGGTTCCTTGGACGGGACCCGGGACCCGTCGGAAAGTCTTGGATTTGGAGGTCAGGTTTCGTGACGCGAAAGGGATACCACTCCCGTTTGCAGTAGCAACTTTGTCCGCGAACCTGATCCGCAGTTTACAGGGGTTCCTTTCTTCACTCTGTCAAAAAGTAGGCACAGAATCATCGAAAGTAAAAACTCGTAGTACGATGCAGGGGTTGAGCCGCCATGATTTGCTTGTCTGCAAAATGCGAAGAATGCTCCGAACGGTGGCAGCGCCGCGAAGTTGTTCCCATCGTGGTTTATATTCACGGGTCCGAAGATGGTTTCCGCCCTGTACATTCCGCCAGCCGAAAGCAGCCAATCTTTTTTTAATGAACCAAGTCGCGTGTGGTTGCATAATCTCCACCTTTTTTCTGCTGTCCAATGGAGCCCGAATTCGAATTTCTCAGTGCTCAAAGTTCCGGCCGTAGCCATCGTTCTAGGAATACTTATGCTGGTCTACATCCGTAGAATCCTTATGGTTGTCCAGACCCTTTTTGATGCGCAGAAGGAAGACGCCAGGCCTGGTTCGACATGGCATTGTCCGATGGCCAAAGGCGCGGGTGCAGAGGGGCAGAGGGGCCGTCTGCCGTGAGACAGGCGGGTGATGTGGGGCTGATTGGTCGCGGAATAGAGCCTAGTCGCAAGGACTAACTGGGGTTTTACCTGGGGTTTTACCTGGGATTCTGTAGGGGTTGACTCGCGCTTGCTCACATATCCCGGGCTGCGGGGGCTCGACTCACGTCAGGGCTTTCCAAATTGGGCTACCCCCTAAAGCCTTTAGTTTAGCATATGGGGCAAAATTAAAAAAGCAGATAACAAACAAACACGTCACTGTTATCAATCAACATCTCTTACTTGAGGGGTTTTGGGGTTTTGCGGGATAGTTTGCCCCTATCATGTCTAAATGTGGTTTTTAAAGCACCCAACCCCCAAGCTCTGGCTCGAACGCCTTCCAGGGGCAGAGCGGTTGCCTACTGAGGGTCGAGGGGCCGCGATGGATCAGAGGGTGGCCCACATGGTGGATCAGAAGGTCACGATCGTGGTGAGGGTGGTGGAGCATGAGCAGGACGGGCTGCACACGCGGGTGAATGGGGTATCCCCGGATCAGCTCTTCTACCTCGACGGCATCTTCGGAAGACCAGATGAGATTTGGACCCTTTACGACATCCAGCGCGTGGGCATCTTTCTGGACCACCCGGTCATGGCGCTCGGCAAGGACTCAGAGGCCTTCTGCCACCAGTTTCGTGGGGTCGAGGACTACACCGCGGCCTGGGATTTTTGCTCCGGCATTGGGGCACTCGGATGGGGGGCGAAGCACGCAGGATTTCGGCTTTTGGGCCACAACGACCAAGGATGGCTGGCATGCGCGGCCACGCGCCTGAACAGCCGGGCGCCCATTGTCAAGGGCAGCATCCACGAGCAGGACACTGTGCGGGGCATCCACCGGGTCACGAACGGACAGAGGTTCATCGGCGTGGCCGGTTTTCCTTGCCAGCCGTACTCAAGGCAGGGTAGCCGACAGGAGGCTGCAGACCCTAGGTTTCAGACGCTGCCGGCTCTGCTTTTGGCAGCGTGGCGCTTGGGGGCCTCTGGATTGCTGTTGGAATGCGTGCCGGAAGCAGGAACCTCAAAGCCGGTCAGGGAGCAGATCCAGAAGTATATGGAGGCGACGGGTTTCCAGATCTTTGACCATGTTTTGGACCTTGCGGACCGTTGGATCAGCAGACGCAGACGATGGTGGGCGCTCATTCTTCCTGCAGATGGCCTTCAGACGTGGGGAAAACAAGATCCAGATCCTCTACCAGGACACCTACTTCGGGACTGGCCACATTGGGACGTGGAGCTGAACCTACAGCGGGACCAGAACGAGACGGACCATTACGACAGCATCGAGTACGGCACGGAGAATCGCAGACTGGACCTATGGGCCAAAATCCCAACGGCGGTTCACTCCTGGGGAGCCGCACTACGACCATGTCCGTGCGGGTGCAGAGGACGCGCATTTAGCGAAAGCTGGCTACGACGAGGCGGATTGAGGGGATTTGCTATCATCTCTCAACGGCTTGGCTGTCGACGATTCCCTCATCCAGGAGAGGTCTGCTACTGGCCATACCGGCCTCCTACAAGATGGTCTCTCCACCAAGGGCGGCACTATGCATGTTGGGCCAGATCGGCTTCGACAAGGAAGGCCCCCCGTGACCCCTGAGCAGGCAGTGCAAAGCTGGATACAGCGGGTGATGTAGGAGGCCCGCGATACTTGGGTGACAGCCGAGATGTTTCTACCCAGGTCCATTACGATCTGCAAGCAGGAGGTGCTGGGCTATTTGCAGCTCAATCAGCCCGCCACGATTCAGAACCTCTTGGAGGCAGAGAAGGACCTTCAGGGACATGGAGATCAGATTCACGTCTATGTCAACGGCAAGAGGGCTGCAGATACGTCCAGGTGTCATCTACGAATTGGAGAGCCACACGAAACGACAGAAGTTGCAGGTGCCAGAAACCCCCGTGCTCACAATCACCGGTTCCGGCCAGACCACGCAAGTTCGTGTGCAGCAGGGCACGTTCATGCAGCACATCAAGCAGTGGCTGGGACTTCAACTTGGAGAAGGTCTTCTTCTACAGGGCACACCGACGCGGGACGGCGTGCGAATCTGGCACGATCTACGGGGGCCGGATACACGGGACGTCAGATCAGCGACGTAGCTCTGCGGGGCCCTGCAGGCGCTACTGAACTTGGATGGAGCTCTCGGAGGAGAACCCTGGGTTGTGCTTGCGCCCGGGAGGCCCTCATATTGCAGACGGCACCGGAGTCGTTGATCAGGGACGCCCTGCCCATGCGGGAGCTGCTACAAGAACCTCATCGGGAAGCTTGCTGAACTGTGGGCCAGGCCGACCGGAAGCCTCACACTACGCACAGACTACGCACAGACCAAGCCGGACCAATGTGGGGTCATTGCTTTGCTGCACACCAGTAGAGTGCTGGGTCTGTGGGACGCCTTCAACGAGGACATTACTGAGACCTGGCACAAGTGGCTACTGGAGGTCGATACTAACGAATCGGCCTGGCGTGCGGCGGGGCCAGAGGACAAGATCACGCGCGACCTGGCGGCGGTGCTCATTCAGCAAGGAGTACCCGGAAACAAGGTCGAGGAAAGGGCGGCCGAAGCCATCAGGAAGATTGGGCCCACCCAGATACAGCACGCTCTCAACCAGTCGAACCCCTGGCAGGCATTGAAAGGCGTCGGGAACCAGGCTGCCCATCGGTTCAGATGGGTTCAGCCAGACGAACTCGAGTCTCAAATCCAAAGCCGAGCCAGCACCAACTTTGGGGCAGCCAAGCCACGTCAGCGCAAGGAGCAAAGATCACAGACTGGTAGAGCCCCGCAGATTCAGGAGGTTGACCCTACTGGCGTCGTCATCAAAGAGGGCATCTTCGAGGACGAGAACAAGGAGGTGGTGAAGCAGATTCAGCTCGGCGAGGTAGCGGTCAACGCGCGGGGATTGGCGATCACCAGCATTGCTGAGGCCCTCCGCTTTCTCAAGGCGCAGAATTCCATCAGCCCGGACGCCTTGAGCCTACTGACCACACAGCCACTGCCTGACGAGCTACGCGGTGGCCTCAACATAACGGACATCCAGTTCCCGGCTCTCTACAAGGACACCCAGGAAGCGATCCTACTACGGGGCACGCTGATTGACATTGGGGATCTACACATCTCCAACCCGGCCATCGAGCTGGTTGACACGGTCATTGTCAAGATCATTGGCTACAGGGACGAGCTGGGCGATCATTGGGAGCGCCTCCATTTGTGCAAGACACCTCTATGCAAAGGCCACTGCCGAGCATACCATGCCACGGTTGAGGAGGACATCAATCAGGTTGTCCAAGACGTGTGGGGGCGCTCCTTCCAGAAGACGGCGGGCGGCAAGACAGATCCAAGTCAGGCAGAAATGGTCCAGATCTTCGCACGGATACCTCGCCTTGCTCTTTGGCAACTCAATCAGGAATCGGGCAGGACTGGAGTCTACGTCGAGCCGAAGGCAGAGACCACTTTGGGACCCTGCCCAGGATTTGCGGTGGTTTGGCTTCCGGGGAAGACGCTGGCGGAGACCCAACACCTCATGGCCACCCACAAGAAAGCTCTTGGAATTGCACGGCTGGGACAGAAGCGGGGGATTCGGGTCAAGACAGAGGACGAGGCGATGCTCTTCGGCGCGCTCCGGCCAGGCCAACTCTTCATGCAGTTGAAGCTCAACGCCATCTACAAGGTCTACCCACTTCCGTACGGGACGCAGAGGGCGGGCGTAGTGGCCTTGGTGAAGCAATGGGGCTGGGCGGCAAAACCTCTTCAGCCAGCCCGGGGCAGTGCAGCAGGCCTGGGAGGTTGGAGCGGGAGAAGGACCCACCTTCCTTCGCCATGCAGGGACCAAGGAGAGGTGCTGATCCAGTTGGTGAAGTCGCTGAATCGCAAGACAGACGGGCACCCGGCATCGGTGATCCCCCAACGAACACGCCAGTACCTGCAATCAGACAAGCAGGGGGCCAAACCCAAGCACGGCGGCAACAACACTCAGGACCCGTGGCAGCAGGGCACCGACCCCTGGTCAACCTGGTTCAACGACCACAGAAAGGGCTCCTTACGAGATTCCTCAACGGGCAATGCCACCACTCAGAAACTGCAGCAGCTCGAACACCAGCTCAAGGAAGATGTGAAGCGCACGGTCCATTCTGAGATCTCCTCGCTACACGGTGGGGCCATGGACACGGAGGACCCGCGTTTGGGACAGCTGGAGGTGGCGGTGCAGGAACTCCGACATCAAAACACCAAGTTCGAGGGCTGGTTCACACAGGCGGGCCACAAGACCAACGAGCTCACGAATCAGGTCCACGCCCTTTGCACCACGGTCGACTCACAGCAGAAGGACATCCAGGCCATCCGCCAAGAGGTGCAGGACCAACCCAATCAGATTCAGACGGCGATGCAGACGGCCTTGCAGACTATGGGGTCTCAGTTCAGCATGCAGTTCCAACAGTTGCAGGAGGCCATTGTGGATCTCAAGGGCACCGGGCATGCAGACAAGAAACAACGGGCGGAGTGACTAGGTCACTCGGGGCTACCACATGGGTCGGTGGTGGCGCCCCCACTTTGTACTAGACCCGATTTTGGTTCGAGGAGGCAGAAGGACAAGGGCACTTGCCATTCAAGGAGGTGGTCTTTCAAGATGGGCGTTTTTTTTGCGGTGGCTCATCATGCTTGTGCTATGGATGCCTTCAGTCGCTACGGCTACAGCAGATGGGGTGGTCTCCAGGAGGTCCTGTGCCCGGCTCTTACCGCGATTTGGGGTCCAGGACCGAATAGGATCATGGCGGCTGGAGGTGGGGTGAGGCACGGCATCCGGGCCCGCAGGAAGTAGTGACCATTGGGGTCAGCAATCCTTCAGGAATGCGGGGCAAGGAACTTCAAGCCCTCGATTTGGGACCAGGTATCTGGTTCTTCACAGAAACTCAACTGTCCGAGGCCACGATGCCATCAGTTCGGAGGAGCCTGCAGCT